ACCGAGCATTTTGCATGGCTGGAAAAATATAAATTAAATAACTGTAAGATAGTAAATGCTTGCCAAAGGATATTCACTATTGGCTGCAATTGCCTTCTTTCATTATCATTTTTATTTAAAAGGGGGATGCCCTCCAGATCTCATCATTGAACAAATTTGAACTGACCAGCCCCAGGTAACTTAGAATGATTTTGTTCTGGTCGACCGTGGTCCTGCCGCAGTTGGCATACCAAGTTTTTTTTTTTTTTTTTTTAATTAAGTTACCAACAAACTGTGGCCAACCAATAAAACAAAAACCATCCCGGATGGGGGCTGACGTGGCAGGTCACTTGGGTAGAGCTGTGGCGTCGCAACGGGGATGAGGATTGAGCGAGCATCACTCTGCCAGTGTACTGCCATGTTGGTCTGCATAGCAAAAATAATCGAGTCTTCAACGAGTTTCTCGAGGGATGCGGCAACACGATGGCCAAAGAGCACTGCATGGGACAAGAAGAGCGAAGATACAAATGCACACTTGGTCACTCTTTGTCGCATCACTTTTTTGTTGTTGACTATCCCGTTGCTGCTCTTCATTGAGTCCAAGGGGTCAAGCTGTGGCCCGTCAGGCTGAGGCTGCAAGCACAGTCGTCAGATCTGTTCCTTCAACCACCGTTCTTTCTTTAAAAAAAAAAAAAAAAAAAAAAAAAAAAAAAAAAAAAAAAAGCCACCCCCGTCAAGTTCTGACTCTTCCCTTACCGAGCCTGGCAAGGCCCTGCACGGCAGCATGAACGTCCCGTCGGAGAAAAATGGCTGGGAAATGGTTGGTGGTTCAAATTACAACATCCCCCCCCCCAGTAAGCACCACAGGGGTTCGAACCCTAAAGGACATGTCTGCATGAAACACCATGGCAGTGACAAGGTGTGCAAAGGCAGACGAGCAACCACTCTTTGTAGCAGAGTTAACACCTTCCCTCGCACTTGTAACATCAAGACCAGCTTTTGAAGTGTGGGGAAAGACGCACTACACTCTATGCCAAGCTCCGTTCAAGGCGTCGATGTTTCCAACCTCTGCCTCTGGTTCACTAAGTTTTTGCCCACCCCCTTAAAAAATCCAAACCGCAGCACGCCGTCCCCTGGCAGCACGAGCCTTTTTCCGACGATCTCTTTGGGCCTACTGCCAGCCCTCTCCGCGTCGATGTCTCCAACCTCTGCCTCTGCTTCACTAAGTTTTAGCCCACCCCCTTAAAAAATCCAAACCGCAGCACATCCTCCCCTGGCAGCACGAGCCTTTTTCCGACAATCTCTTTGGGCCTACTGCCAGCCTTTCTCCCGACGACTACTTTGAGCTTACCACCGACAAACACTTGGAGCCTTTCCTCCGCTGCGTGGTGCTAACCGCAAGTGTGTTTTTCAATCGAGGGTTACTGGGGATCTCATGTACTTCATGAACCGAAACCACTCATCATTGTCTGGGCAATATTTCACGCACTAGCAAAGGAAGAGGGTACCCTTGGCATGGCGATGGGCCTCAATGTGGACATGTTTGTGGAGCGGTAGAGAAAATTTTGTTTGAAACTGGATCACGCAAAACACGATCAGATTCATAACTTATCCAAAAGCTCATGGTCAGCAGACCTCCCTACAGAACCTCCACGCCTTTTTTTTTCCCAACCAATTCAAATTTCTGAGCAACACATAGGCAACGCAGTTTCAATTCTTTCCGTCTGGCACTGCCACCCATGGCACTCCCGTAGGCCAAGCACCAGAGCATGTGCCACGTCAACAGTTCTGTTGAAGATACTGGTGGTTGTAACAACCACTCCAACGCTCCCGACACTGTTCATCTTTCTTGCCATCGAGTAGACGGCCAAAATATAGCCCTGGTGGGGAAGGGTACCGCGACTACTTATTTTTCTGCACAGTGGCACTATGGACTTTAGGCTCAGGGAAATGCAAATTTTGGTTTGTCAACTGTGTTATACACCGGTCCGCCTGCGGCACCTTGTTTGCCCAGGCTGCCCAGCTGCGCAAGGACAAGGGAAGATCCCTGTAAAATCAATAACAAAAACAAAAATTCAAAAAAATCCGAACGAAAACCATGTTGCGCAGAAAACCAAACTGAACAACTTTTGCCTCAGCTTCTGACCGAAATTCTTCGTGAAACAAAAAAAAAAAGAAAATTAAACAAACATATTTTCATTTTTCTTTCTTAATTCATTTATCTCCCGACCGTGCAAATGGTCCTGTGCCCACTCTGGTAACACAATTTGTCAAAACAGGCCCACTCTGGTAACATAATTTGTCAAAACAGTCCCGGATGAAGTGGTGATTTGACAACATTGGCCCTTGTCGTCTGGATTAACAAAGCGTAACCATCCAACAGAAAGGATGAGTACCACATTTACCTGTAAAAGGGGGAAGGG